AATATTTTTTAAAATCTCCTTCAGCTGCATATCTCATTACAAGAACATATTCTTTTGTATTTGGATCTTGTGAAATGTCATAAATATTAGCAATACCCTTGTGATAAGGTCCTATAAATTTAATGTGGTTTTGAGCTTTATGAAAATCAATAAAAAATTAATGTATTATTTAAAACCATTAATTAATTGCCAATCAATTATATCAAATTATTTACCTCCTTTAAAAACTCATCAGAAATATTTTGTGAGTTTTAACCTTTTTTAATGCTACATCACCATTATTACGATAATATATTTATTTTTACTAATATATCTAGGACCATTTGACCAATAACACTTATATACAGTTGCAAAACCACCTTCACCTATTCTCTCTTCAAATTTGAGTCGATCATAAGGAATCCATTCAAGGTAATGATAACTATCAAATCCTTTTGCTTCAAGCTGTGTATTTCTGATTATTTCATCTAATTTGTCATTACCACTGCTAGTCCAACTTTGAGCTAACAATTTGGGATCACATGATTGACACCACTGGTAATTAGTATTATATCTTGCACAAACAAAACAGGTTCCATATTCTTCTTTTCTTTCTTTAAACCCCTTAGTGTTATCTTATTATTCATTGTAAAAAATTAAAAATAGAATATAATTACTTTTCAACATAATAAAAATAGACATTCATTTAAAAGTTATAAAAAAATAAATTTATTTAATTAGACAATGTGTTGTAAAAGTTATTTTATAATATAATATAATATTTACCAGCTGGTTATTATGAAGAAATAAAGGATATTTAATTAGATGATGTTATAAAAATTTATTTTGTGTTGTAAAATTACTTACATGCTAGTTATTATGTTATTATAAAGAAAAATAAATTTATTAGTTGATATTTTAATAAAAATTATTTTGTGTTGTAAAAGTTAATTTTATAATATGATACTTACTCCCTGGTTATTATAAAAAAGATTTATTAGATGATTTTTTTAATAAAATTTATTTTTGTGTTAATTTATAATATACTACTTACCAGCTGGTTATCATAATAATAAATAAAAATAAACTTATTAATTAGATATAAAAATTATAAAAGTTGATATATAATACTTACCAGCTGGTTATTATAAAGAAATAAAAAATAATTTTATTTAATTGTTTTAGTTGTTATAAAAATTAATTTATAATATAATACTTACAGTCTGGTTATAAAGAAATAAAAAATAAATTTACTTATAATATAATACTTACAATCTATGAAATAAATAAAAAAATTATTTAACAAGATGATGTTAGAGATAAATTTATTATTATTACAAAAATATAAATTTGAAGAATACAACAAGGTCAAGGACAAGGTTGAGGACAGTGCTATTTATTAAATTATTATGATTATTTATGGTGATGAAAATGATAGTGATGTTAGCTGATAGAAAAACCTTAGCTAGCTAAGCCAAACAACTCTTAGCCAGCTAAGAACTTAATAAACCCCAGTTGATGAAAAACCTTTTCAGATGGTACTAAGCTTGCCAGTATTATTACTACTACTACTATCATTACTATCATCACTATTTACTATTGTTATTATAATATCTCACCTCTAATGGTTCAAATTATTGGTTTTATTCAAATCAGATGTAGATTTTGAAGATGAAATTAATAAAATAGTTGAAGATAATAACAATGACAACAAATTAGTTAAATTAGTTAAGCAAATGAAATGAAACACAAAGAAAATTTCAATAATAATAATTTAATATTTATTTAATAAAATTATTTATATGGGGCGTGCTGCAACAAAACCAGACAGCATAGTGGAAATTCTATTTTTGCAATTGTCACATTTACATTTTAGTAGAAGATCTTCATGTTACATACATAATAAAATTTGTTTGAATATAACTTTAGATTAAAGAGTTTTTTATTTTTTTGCATGATGTACAAACATATGTATTCGAATTTATTTATTTAAATTTTGTCTTACATATCCTTTGATACATAATAGTAAAGCTTTATATTAATATAATACTTATTGAAGAAATAAAATATGCATATTTGTATATACAGCTATAATGAACACTAAGTAAATAACAAACTTCACTTTTTTATATAATAATAATTAATTTCTCCTTATAATCTTAATAAACACAAATAAAAAGTAGATAGATTCTTATTAATAGTTTCTTGCTTGCTACAGTTCACTCTCTCTATAATGAACCTTCCATAAAATAAACAAATGTTTAAATAATAAATTTTCAATAATACACTAAATAAAGTAAACATACATACATAGTCAAATAAAAGCCAATGTAAAGATCCATATCAATAAGAAAGTTCTGGAAGAATTAATGTTATATGCTCTATATGTAATTTGAACCTTTTATGCATTTTCATGGAGTGTGGTCCTAATACCTTCAAATATCACTAATATGCGTGTATCTTTTCCTACACTTT